GCTGCACACGCTGGAGTGAGAGCAGTAATTTTAGGTCCATTATTCACAGTTGACCCGTAAAGGCTTTTAAAGCATCACCTATGGACAATTTTGCACTATGGATGTTGCCTTTATGGTATGTAAATATTCACATGCATTTCCAAGATGTGTAATACAGCAGCGTATCCCCGCCGTCCTCATATCCCGCCAACGGCTCATGTTTTATGGATCTCCATGCATAACACTGCATTGTTAAGACACTATGAGGGGAAATTATCAAGACTGGAGCAGCTGTGCATGGCAACCACTTGGGCAGCTTCTCTCTTATTTTCAACTCCTAACTGAACAAACTGAAGAGAGAAGCTGATTGGTTGCCCTGGGCAACTGCTCCAGTTTTGACAAATTCCCCTCTATGTCCATACAAATGTAGCGTTACTTGCTAAACATGCCCTGTTGGAAGATAGGTTAGGGAAGCAGAGCTTTTTAACAGTGAAGAACTCCACCTACTGGTCACTTTCATTTCGTGCAGCATGGTATCCATACATTTGTTCAGCTTCTCTGTCTCTAATATGTACATTATTATTACAGTTTGCGCAGTGCTTTACAATATAAGGATGACATTACAGTTACAATACAAGACAAGATGGTAAGGAGGGCCCTGCCTGTGAGAGCTTACAGAATTATTTTTATTAGAGTGGTGCAGCCAGTTTTGTTGAAAATGATTGTAGATGATCCCAAATGTATATATATCTATATAATGTCTGGTACATAGGCAGTCCTCCTCTGGGCTCACTCTTTGACATGTTTAACTCAGTACGAGCTTAGTAGTCTTTTTACTCCAGGATTACATACATACCGAGCAAAACGTGTTGGCTAGAGCCCAAGGTGACTGTCCATATACCAGGAGTTCATTTAATATACCAACAGTATTATTCAACTGGAGTGCGGCTACATTCTCTTCTGTATATGGGAACAGCCTCTACTCCTTTATTAGTCTGCGACTGCTGGCAACACTTTAAGGTGAATCTTTAATCCCCCTCAGCATAACATAGCTTATCCAAAACAAAATGCTTTGTTTCCATGATGCAACCCCTATTTGGCTGCATAGACACGGTGCTTCTATCCAGCATAATAGAGTTGTAGGTGTGGGTACGAATGGCAAGTCTTTGAATGCCAGGCCCAGGGCTCTATATTAGCCACTGTCCAAAACGTTACATGTATTTCCACGTCTCATTTTAAACAATATCCAGCTTTGCACCCAGTATCACAGCTATCACACAATTACCGCCATGCAACCATAGAGATGTAATCCACACTGAAAGAAATACATAGGCCACCAATACTGGTCTTATGAAAATGCTACTTGCCTGGCTTTAATACTTTTTTTTTTTGTAAATTCTTTATTTTTCAAAAACTTTTAAGACAGTACAATTCAAACGGGAAAGATAAATACATAGTGAAAATAGATACAAAGGGTACAAGAAGCATTCGTCCCCTAGAGGCATGGGAGTATTTGACAAATAGGTATTTCACCTGTAGGAGGATATCATCGAGCTATCTAAGGATAATCATATTAAATATGGAGGTCACCATACCGATAAGGAGACGAGAAGCAAAGAAAGAAGCAAAGAAAGACAAAAGCTGCAAGGAAAGAGAAGGGCCCAGGGAGGAAGGGGAAGAAACAAAACAAAACAAAAAGGTGGGGGGGGGGGGGGGGGGGGGGGGGCGCGCAAAAAAAAAAAAAAAAAAAAAAAAAAGAGGGGGGGGGGGGGGGTTGGCAGTTGTGTCCCAGACTTCATGGGAGCGGCGCCAGGAGGGCGGTGAGTTTCAGTCATTCAGCAACATTTCGTATTCACTGGTAGAAGTATATTCATGCCAGTAAAACCAGGTGTGTTGAAATTGCTTCTCCCTGTGTTGCAAAGACAGAGTGAGGTCCTCCATGTCCATCTCTCTAACCTTATTAAGCCACAGGGAGATGGGAGGTGTGGACTGTTTCCAGAGAAGCGGGATACAGGACTTCGCTGCATTAAGCAGGTGAATCAATAGGGACTTACAATAGCGTCATTTGGACATGGTCTGGAGATGCAGTAAGTATTTAGCCGGGTCACAACCCATATCTGAGCCAGTTACCTCAAGGATGATATCATGTACCTTTTCCCAAAATGGACGGATGATCGAGCAGGCCCACAAAATATGGGGCAGAGTACCCGGTTCCTGGCCACACCGCCAATACAAATGAGGAGGGAAAGATTCTGTTGAGTTTCTGTGGTACCATGTACCAACGCGAGAGCAATTTATAGCCAGCTTCTTGTTGGCTATGGAAGCTTTATGCGCAAAATGTGGGATGAAGTTTCTTTGTTCGGTCGACCATGTAGTACCCAGGGTCCTGTTCCCATTGGGCAATATATCGCACGGAACATAGGATTGGGGGGGGGTTGGATAAGAATCACGTAAGATTGGGAAAGCGTATGGCGGAGTGTCTGGCTTTAATACTTTGACAAAACTTGCTGTATGCTTCTTTTAAGTCAGTGATTTATAATTCCTAATCTGCATACCTACGGAAAGGTGAGGTCCACGTAGTTTCAAAAAAAAAAATGCATACATTTAAAAGAAAAGCTGAGAATTATCATTGTTGTAAAACAATTTTTTTTTTGCATTGGAGCCAGTAAAGCATTGCAACCATAAATCAGTGGATCACACATGCAATTCTCTGGCTCCTGCAGATTCTCCCTTTGTCCTTACCAAGGTACAGACATTCATTAACAGGCACAGGAGGGAGAATAAAAATGGACTACAAGTGTGGTCTAGGGTTACCATGTGACCATGTTTCATGTTATAACCTGAAAATGGGTGTAACATGGACAGAAAGTTAAACTTAGGTTTAAGAGACAGTGGGGTCGATCACAAGACAAATAGGCTGTTCAATTTGCAAGATAATTTTTCCTTAGCTTAGTGAATGTGGTAAAAACTCACATGGCAAAGAATACCCAATTACAAGCAAGGTAAAAAAACAATAGTTTTGCTTGCACATGATTGGATCATGGAAGTCAGCAGTTTCACCACATTCACTAAGTTAGGTGAAAATTCCAAAGCACATGTACCAGGTGCTGCTCCAGGTTAGTCCACTGACAGGGTGCACACAGCAGCTCAAAACCAGCCACGAAATACACTTTAACTATAAGCAAATGCGGCACTCCTGTGCCAAATGAAGATCGTTGTGTAATCTTTCATTCATCAATCCCTTGCACAGGGAACATCCCATTTGCCTTCAGTCACTCGACCACTGTAACTCAGAACCTGGCATTTAAAGAAGCAGAAACCAGCAATGGAGGTCCTCATCTCTCAGTACAAGTTTTGTTTAAAGTGAACTTGTAAGGACAGGTATATGGGGACAGCTGAGGATTTTTTATTTAAATGGTGCAGGCTTTATAGTGGTCACCCTGGTTTACTACCAAATGAGTAACACAAGTGGGGATCCTGGCCAACATCGGTGTAAACCAGAAGATCACAGCCTTGACCAACCCCTTCCTCCTACAGTTACCCTTACATTCACTGGAGGGTGCACTGAGCACTGTAGTGCTGCAAAGATGGCTAGTGTGCAGCAAACCTTCACCATGCACTCCTTGCTCTTGGTTAACTGATCTTTCATGTCGCATGACCAAGCACAAGGACGCACAGAAAGTGTCACTGCAACCACAGGATTTCAGAAGCATCTCTCTACTCAGTGGAAGTTTCACATTCGATATTTGTCAAATTCAGCACTAACAATGTTCTTTTTTATATCAATTGCACTGTCTGTAAGATGGAGTTCACAATACAAATGCCAGTTATGCATTGTTCAGGTGTGTAGGTCTATAACACATCTTCCTCCAAACAGGCACACTGATCACATAGTTGGTTCAGTCAACTAAGAAATCACACAATAAAATACATGACAAAAAAAAAAACACAGACACAAGATTAAAAGGAAATTATTTTTTTTATCAGTCTTAATGTTATACAATACAAAGCATATACAACTTTTACAAAAATGAAAAAACATATATACAGTTGACTGTTCTTTATACTAATATTTTTTCCTGTTTTAATTTCAGGTGTTTAAAATCTAATCTGGTACTCACATAGCAGTGTGTGCCAGACTGTGTATCCAGTAATCCATATTACCACTGTAACAAGGTACATAGTGAGGTACGACATGCAGTAACTTATTACAGCCAATGAAACTTTGTTTTTTCGCTGACTGGAATGCTGCAAAATAATTTCTGATTGAATGTTGTAGATTACTGCATGTGCATATCAATACTACCCTACACGTCCTTATTAAAGTTAACCTGACCTGGTTAAAACAAGGCTATATGAGTGCCAAAGTGCAGCCACTTCATAGTATCTGCAGGTCCCTGTGTCTTTACCACCCAATAATGCCATCAGACACTTGACGAACGTCAATCGAAATTTCGATTGATGGTTAACGTTCCATTTTGGAACGAATGGAGTTTATCAAACAAAAACCACATTCACCGTTAGAATGTCGTTTGTTCAAGAAAAAGTTTCCATCCTGCTCCGAGTTTTTTTCCCCGTCACTACGGTCAAAATCGATCATCGATTTGATCAACTAATAGAAAGTCGAAAGAAAGTTTGTTTTAAAAAAAAAAAAGCAGTGTTTGGCCAGCTTAAGTCTTCAAATCTATCCCTGTGCCTTTTCGATGCTCCCTTGGATACTAGGCCCATACTGTACATGGAGCCATACCTTCATCCTAAATTACCATTAAGCCTTGGGTGCCAAGACCCAATCGGACAGGTAACAGGTAAATGATGGACGTGGGGTTCTGTGCCAGGAAAGGTTAAGACTTAATCCCAACTTGACCAGCCTAATCTTAATAGCTCTATGTACAGCTCAGGTTTATAACCCAAGGATAATACACAAGGGTTGACTTATAGACCAGCACAGGTTGTACCTGCACTTCAGCACTGTGGGCATACAAAAGGTTTAAGACCTGGTAATTTTTACCTTAAACTAAATTCGATTTAGAATAAACTTTGTAAACTTCTACTAGGATTGGCAAGGATTTGAGGTGCCTTTGGTAACCTTACAAGTGACCAAGGCCCTCTGAAAACCTAGGCATTCCAATATGTCAAAATGCCATTTCCATTTTAGAAGTTGATATCTTGCTCCTGAATCTCACTAATTTGCCTAATAAGCTAGCTAGCTATAATACAGTGCCTGGGTTTGTGAGAAAGGAGGCAGCTTGTAAAAACATGCAACCTGTAGGCACCTCTTTACACTCCTAGTAGCAATTTATCAATTATATTCTGGAAATAGGTTTGTCTTAAATAAAATTGTCAGCTGGTTGCCTTTAGCTGGCCCAGTCCTGGAAACGGAAACAGTCGCTGGCAATCTTCCACAGCCTGTTAGATGGATAAGTATGGAGAGTCAATAAAAAGTTCTGGTTGAAGTAATGGTTTTTGTTTCCCTCAAACTTCACAGAGCCATGAGTAACAACCAGTACAGTCTTCTGTCCTTGAGTCGCTTGTTCTTGAAAGGAAAATAAAAAGGATTAGTAATACCTGCGTTAGTGTTTCATCCAGCAAGACGTCTGATGTGTAATTCAAAGAATTCTGCAAGTATGCATCACACTAATAAAAACTGTCACAACACAGATTGGAGACCATCAAATAAATAGACATGATCACAGCATCATTTATTAAGGGGTCAGTTCTCCAGGAGTAGTTTAGGCTGTTGAATCACCCAGAGTCTTCATACGTCTGCACCAGAGTTCCCTGGTCCACATACCTGCCAGTGCCATTACAAGCGAATCCCCCTCTTCCTATTTATCTTACAGTACAAATAATGCAGGAGGTGCAACACAGGAAAAATAAGACTTAACCAGGGATATTACTACTTGGTTTCCTAAGACTGGCTTCACACCTATAACGTGCATCAAAACCTGCATTTCAATGAGCACTATTGCAATGCAAGGTGTGCTGTATACTGTGGTGTGTTGCCATTATTCTGAATGGCACCCCTAATCGCATATACCATAAAAACAAGTGGGAATGTGTTCTGCTGTGTTGCATTACCAAAAAGTAACGCAGGTACATTTTTGTCTGTGTTGAGGCTCATTAGGGGCCCAATAAAAGTAAACAGGCTGCCTTGACACAATGACACATGTTATCTCTTGCAGAGGTGTGAATCATCCCTAAGATATATAAAAGGGAGTGAGTTACTCTACAAGTGTCTAATAAGGAAAATTCTATGTCCATATGGATGCTGAATGGGCTTGGTGCGCAGTGCCAACATTTTCCAAGTGAGCCCCAAGAACTGTGTTGGGAAAAGTGTAATGTTCAGAACATGAGTGCCTTCATTGGTTGTAGCATGTGGCATATTGACCATGTCAGGCCACGCCTTCCACTAATCTGTTACCACCCTGGAAACAAAGTGTTTCTCTACAGACAGAAGCCTCCTAATTAAGGCATGCAATGCTATTCTGTATCTGATCTTCATGAAAACATAACCTAAGCTAGAGCTCTGCTCGGAAACACATTCATCTCTATGTATGGGATTCTTGGGGAATTTTTGTGTACATTAATTACATATAACTATATTCCTATAAGGGATGCTGCTATCCATTTACCATGTCCCCAAATCAAACCGTTATAGTTTATTTTGTATTCATTAATTTTCCCTCATCAGGCTGTACACCCAGCCTATTGTGAAGGCAACAGCTTTTAATGCAGAGGCAAAGTTCCAGTTCAGACCAGGACACGTATATTTGTTACAGTTGAACAGAGAGGAGTCTGTAGTAATTATTCTGGAAACAGGGTGGCATCCAAGTTACAAGAGACACCTGCATTATAACAAGGATGAATCAGACACATTTCACCAACACTGTATTTAGGGTAATGTTTGTACATATTTTCTTTTATTATAGTTGTGAATAAAAAGCTAAAATATTCTCTTTTTATTCAGGTGAATATGAAATATTGCATATGATTATATTTGTATATTTAAAAAGGAGAACTATGAGGTGAGTGATTTTTACTCATCCTCATATTCAGAGCTGATGTGTGACAATGAAACTGTCACACGTCGGCTCTATTGACCGGGAAGCGAGTGAACACATATCGTCGCTCGCTCACTTTCCGATCATCTCCCTGCAGAGAGCCGTGACTTGTCAGTTACCGCTCCGCGCAGGGATTCCCCTCTCTGATCCTTTAGCGCTGAATAGAGGAACAGATGGGGGAGGGGGGCGGGCACAGCTGGCTCTGCCTCTAGATAGGCAGAGCCCGCCGTCAATCAGCCAGCTGGGTGGATCTCAACAGTATTGTCAGGATCTGTAACGGCTGCGGCGCTCTCAGTACATAACTTAGTATATACTGAGCTTTGTGTCATGGGAGGAGGTTAGTATATGTCCTCCCGTGACCCTTAAGAGAACTATGGGATAAAAAGGTTACTCTATAGTTCTCTTTTAACTCGATAGCTCAAGCTGAAATGAGAAGAGATGACTTGCCATCTCATAGAGCGCTCAGTATCATTTGTCATATACCTACAATTCTTTTTTAAAACAAAGATTGTGTTTATATTTAAAGACACGGGAAATGTGAAATGGCGGAAAGACATTATACTAAAATCATTTTAGGATATGCATATGTGAAGCAGTTCCTACAAGGACCCATCTCACCCCTTCTTACCATGAACAGGCTGACAGTCAAACGTGGTGACTTGAAATTCACTGGATGGCAACATTTCAAAGAACTCAACAAGAGCCTCCTGCCCAGATATTGGGTTTCCATTCCAGACTAATGTAGCAGTGTCCATGTATAACTTGGTCAATTGCTGCAAAAAGAGTGATGGATTAGTGGTAGAAATGCATTTCATCTCTCGTTAAAATCTAAAAACAATGCATGCTATAAATGTAAAACTTTATTAATATGTAGATAGAAATACATTATTCCAAATAATTTTTTCAACACATGTGGATTACTATTGGCTCCCATTCTATTTAAGATCTATTTGTGCATCTTTGCTAGCATTGCTAACCTTGACATGCTCGGATCTTGGATTTAATAACCGCCGGGACCTCATGAAAGGACCATTTAGATGGTGAACCTGCACGGTCCTCAACATTGTGTAAACAAATGTTAGTGATGGTTTGCAAGCACCTGTGTTAAAGGAGAACTATGGGTCAGGGCTTTTCCCCATAGTTCTCCTCAGGGTCACGGGAGAACACAAATTAGCATTCTCCCGTGACCCAAAGCTCAGTATACAGAGACGCCCCAGGCGGGACGGATCCCGACAATACTGTCTGGATCCACCCAGCTGCGGGATTGACAGCTGGCTCTGCCTATCCAGAGGCAGAGCCAGCTGTGACCGCCCCCTCCCCGTCTGTTTCGCCAGTCAGCGCTGGAGGATCGGATAGGGGGGGGGGAATCCCTGCAGGAAGCCAGGAGCGACAGTCACGGCTCTCTGCAGGGATAGATCGAGAAGTGAGCGAGTGACGGTATGTGTTCGCTCACTTCCCGATCTACTGAGCCGACCTGTGACAGTTTCATTGTCACACGTTGGCTCAGTGAAAATCACTCGTCTCATAATTCTCCTTTAATCTCTAAATCAGATCTCTTGGAGTCCCTAGGGTTTCAGGGCTTTTGAAATGTCTCCCCCCACCCCCCACAATTGGCATTCAAAGATGTTAGCAAGCATGCATATGTCTGATGAAGAGGAAGAAGAGCAAATACACATACCAAACACCAACCTAATCCTAGAGACAAATGGGACTAACAGAAAATATCCGTAAGCAGAGTGTTTGTTCTCCGGGGACAGGCAGCCAGGGATGTCTGCTGCCCTCTAGTGGAGTCCACAGACACCAGAAGACTAATTATTCCTATAGGGACTTTTGCTGACACAACTGAAAGCAGATATAATTGGGAAATGCAGGCTGGGGCTTCAATTTTTCTTGGGCAATGAGTAGATGTGGGTTAAGTTCTGCAGCTGGAAATTTCTAGCACTGTAATAATATATATGACAGGATTACAGATCCTGAGAGACCACTGTACGAAAGCTTTAGGACAGCAGCCTGTTTGAAAGAGACTTTCATTGAAGCATGCTTACAACATTTTAAAGTATATGACCACCCATTAAACAATATGTGCTGCTGTACTTAATTATTTCATCTACACACACTTATTTTTCATTATTCCCCCTGCAAAGTTCAATGCTGCACTGCTACTAAATTCAGAGCAGAGCTGCCACTCTCATGCAGGCTGTGTCTGCCTGTACTTTGGTAGAATGAGAAGATGTTATAGGGGACGTGGCTAACAGTGGTTAGTTCTGATTCACAAGTCTGTAGCTTGTCAGTCAGCACCCAGCCATACTAAGTCCTGCCCACTGATATGTGGATTGATAGTACTGCCTCTGTTGCCGATACCTTGCCACTGTGAGCTGCAGAATCTGTGAGACACAAATGAAGGATGAAAAAGAAAAATTTACAAAGCTTGGCTTCTGCAATAGAAGACACTGGATACTTACTTCTCTAGAGGGCTGAGAGTCGGAACTCCACCACTGCCAACAAGTAGTACAGCCTCCAGCAAAGTCCTCAGTTTTTAACCCTTCCACCAGGACTATCCAATGCCTGCCCCCCCCCCCC